CACTGGTAAACGTATCACCTTCAGTAGTGATATGGAAACCATATAACTCAGGTTGCATTCTAATTCTTGTGGAATGCCTAAGAGGTAATGATTCGTCAATTAGTTCAATTGTAATTTCTTCCTCAGGTTGAGCCCTAGCATCTTCAGAGGTTCCTTCATCGTTTGACTCTTGAATTTCTTCAAGATCAATGGTACTCCCACTGTCCTCTTTACATATGAGCCCTCTCTCACGAAAGACTCTCATTTTTTCTACAAAGACCACGCTCTCACTAGGTCTATAGAACAAATATTTAAAAGAATTATATGGGTACCCGATGAAAATACATCTCTCAATTCGAGGTTCAAGCTTGTCGTGAGTCTCTCGTATAACAAAAGATTCACAAACCCAAACCTTGATATGTGCTAACGAGGGAACCTTCCCTGTCCATATCTCGTGAGGTGTTTTGGCAACCTGCTTTGTTGGGACAAGATTAAGAATGTGGGCGGCAATCTCTAAGGTATACCCCCAGAATGAGATTGGAAGAGAAGCTCGACTTATCATGGAATGAACCATGTCCAACAAGGTTCGATTATGCCTCTCAGCCACACCATTAAGTTGTGGTGTCCTAGGAGGAGTCAATTGTAAAACTATTCCACATTCCTTGAGGTAGTCGTGGAACTCGATACTAAGATACTCACCACCTCTATCGGATCTAAGCATCTTTATCTTCCTGCCCAATTGATTCTCGACTTATTGCTTAAACTCTTTGAACTTTTCAAAGGTTTCTGACTTATGCTCGATTAAGTAGATATAACCATATCTGCTATAATCATCAGTGAAAGTCACATAGAATCGATATGCATCCCTTGTGGTGGATCTGAAGGTCCCACACACATCTGTGTGTATGAGGTCCAAAAAACCTCCACCTCTTTCACAAGATCCAGTGAAAGGTGATTTTATCATCTTATCCAATAGACAATATTCGCATGTTTCATCTGACCTTATGTTAAATGATTGCAACACTCCATCCTTTTGGAGTTGGGCAATGCGTTTCTTGTTAACGTGTCCAAGACGACAATGCCACAAGCATGCTTTGTCTAAACCAGACGAATCAATTTGAAAAACACTATTACCTAAATTGTCTACAATCATTACAGTTTCATACACACCTTCACAAGGTAAAGCTTCAAAACAAAAAACACCATTTTTATAAGCAGAAATAGAACCATTCTCATCATTAAAAGAATATCTAAAACCTTGTTTAAACAATGCTTGAAAGGAATTGATGTTCCGTGTCATTTCTGACGAGTAGCAACAATTTATTAAATCTAATGCTAACCCATTACTAAACACTAAGCCAGAAACTCCAATCTTGGTGACAGGTGAAGATCGCCTATTCCCCATGATCAAGTTCATCCTTCCGTGCTCCGCATCCTCGCTTCTTTTTAGCCCCTGCAATTCAGAACAAATGTGAAATCCACATCCTGTATCAAGGAACCAAGAACGAGAACATGACGAGTTATTAAATAAGATAATGTATATACCTGTCGAAGTTGGCTTCAGCTTGCCATCTTTGATATCTTACAAGTATTTTGGGGAGATTCGTTTCCAATGCTCTTTGTCGTTGTAGTAGAAGCAAGTGGCATCTTTAGGATCAGAGACACGAGGAGTATCAGAACTGGATTTTCCTTTGGGTCCACTTCTTGATGACCCATCTTGAGATTTTCCTTTCCAGTTTTTCTTAGGAGGACCTTTCCTCTTTTTCCCTTTCCCTTGACTTATGGCCAGAACTGGAGTAGTAGCAGGAGTTGAGGCAATACTCTTTCCCTTCATTGCTGCTTCAGCTGTTCGCAGGTGGTTCTGTAGTTGAGACAAAGTTGTCTCATTGTTGTTCAAATGATAGGTCAAAATGAACTGATTGTAACAACTAGGTAAAGAGTGCAAGACTATATCAATAGCCAATTCCTCATCAAAGTTCACATTGAGCTTAATCAAATGATCCATGTATCGTTGCATCCTCTGCACGTGGCTGTTAATAGATTCTCCATATTTCATTTTGCTTGTTATGAGGGACTTTACCACCTCATACTTTTCCTGATGAGCTCGCTTATGTTACTTTTCCATAAGGTCCTTGTTCATCTCGTACGAACAGTAATCCTCGTAGTGTCTCTACAATTCAGGAGTCATTGTGGCCACCATGATGCAAGCAACTTTTGTTTCATCATTGTAGTGTTTCTTGTAGGCGACCATTTCTTCAGGAGTGGACTTTTCTTCGTCGATCTCATACAATGGTCTCTCAAGGACATATTCATTGTTCTCAAAACAAAGGGTCATCTTTATGTTGCGCATCCAGTCATTGTAGTTGGTGCCATCCAATTGCACCTTGGAGCAGATGTTCAACAAGGAAAAGTAGTTGTTGTTGTTGTTGAAGGAACCAGAAGCATCAGTTGGAGTAGACATCTATAAAAGAAATATAGTTATTGGTTAGATAAGAATAATCCTCAATATAACACCCTAAATGAAATATTAAGGCTAGGATCCAACTAGATAATTCACAACTTAGAAAATGGATGTTGTAATCTAATTGTAAATTATATAAAGGTAGGTAAATGACGATTTACCAATTTCACCACATGAAAACGAAATTTGAACGAATTAGGTTTTAATGAAATTCCTAGATATTTTGAGATTCATTGAAACTCTTCAATGACATGTTTAATCTCGATTATGCTCTTCCATTTGTGACTGGGATACCAAGGATCACAAAGAAGATGTGAATAACTGTGCAAATTGGCTTGGCACTCTCGAAGTCATTTATCATCTCATTTTAATGTGTCGGTTAGCCACATGCGCTCCATTAATGAACGATAATTTTCGAGATGTCCATTATCACTCTTTATAATCACTATTAGTGTGCCGGTAAACCACACATGCTCCACTAACTACTATAAAGTATAATGTGCAATTTCATGGGTTAGCATACAAATTCATATTTTCCTAAAGTAACTAAGATTGGGATTTAAAATAAAATGTTTAGTTACTTTTAATTCATTAATTTGTCCTATCAACCCGTTCGGCTAACGACCCTCCACTAATCAAGGAAACGGTGGGTGAGAGTGAACACTACCATTTTATAGGCAATTTCCTTATACCCCCCTTATAGACTACCTTCGTTAATGCTGCATACTAACGGTTCGACTGACTTAATCTTATACATATAGTAATTATTAAACTTTTAAAATTTTTATATATAGTATAAGGTGTATTTTAAAACTTTTCAAACTACTAGGTTTAAATATTAAATTTTGAAAATTAAAAAGAAATTAATTTTAAATTTAAAATTAAACCAAATGATTTAATAATTATCTATTAATTAAACATTTAATTAATTATATTAAATCATATAAGGATTATCCAATTAATCAAATAATTTAATCCTAATCCTTACCCCCTAATTTTCAAAAATATGGGTAGGGATTATCCAAATTTTATAATTATCCTATTTAATCAGATAAACTAATAATTACCAAAAATAAGAAAAACCCTATCCAAACTAACCAATTTTCGAAAACTGCATGCTTGGGGAGGAAGGTAAGGATTTCAATCCTTACCTTATTTTCGAAATCTTGAGGGGCAAGGAACCCCTCTCCAAAATCGAAAACTTGGAGGGCAAGGTAAGGGTTTCATCCCTTACCAAAATTTCGAAACTTAGGGCCCAGGAAACCCTAATTTCGAAACGCTTGTACAAGAGGATTTAATTGCCATAAACCCTAATTTGATCAATTAATCTATTAGAACAATTCAATAGAAAACAAGTCAAGGCTCTGATACCACTGATGGGTTGTATGTAAAACAAATAAACTTAAACTCTTAAGTGTGCATGCAACCTTATAAAGATCTATGTTTTCTTTAATTGAATCTACAACTATGAACATCAAATAAGAACCCTAAGGATACCTAGGTATTTTAGAAATTTAGAAAGAAAGAAGAAAAACATACCTTTTTGATCCTTTGGAAGCAAACACCACAATTGGCGTGCCTCTAGTGGTTCACACCCAAGCTAGCAATGAAGATGAGGAGTAGAGAAGGGGAGTGAGTTTTCGGATTTCTCTTGGATTGCAAGTGGCCGAAAATTCAATGGCTAAGGACCCTTTATATAGTGCACCAGGGAAACCCTAGATAACCCCCAGACCAATTAAATAACATTATTTTATTTTTGGTATTTATCTAGCTTCTTAATTATCCTTTAAGGACAATTCTAGAGCTCCAAAGAACCCCTTAAAACCGGTTCTCGAGCCTTTCGCTCAACTATTTAATTATTACACTTTAGTCCCTGTACTTTAAATTAATTCCATTAATCCCGAAATTAATTCCAATTAATTTATGATTAATTATGAATCAAATATTACAATTTCTAATCAATATACTATTCACATAATATATTAATAAATTATTTATTTCAATTTATTAGTCAAATTATAAATCAACCTCTCTCTCCAAAAACATCATGTGCAATTGCTAGGTTTTAGGGCAACCCAAAAGGATTGTGCTGCTATCAATTCAAGTTCATGCCAATTATAGTTGTGGGCTTAGACACCTAATCCAACAAAAACATGTTGGAGAAGCGATCCAGGATATAACGTTGGGCGTCAGGATAGGAATAAATAACTTTCTTCTCATCCAATGCCTCAAAATATTTCTCCTTCCTCTTAACACAAGCCTAATGAAGCCCCAATTAGATGGTTGCAGTCTGGAGGGCAGCATAAATGTTGCCAAAATCGCCTGAATTCAACAAGGAACGAACAAAAGAAGGGATACATTCTTTCACAAACCGCTACAAATCTGAGGCGCCCCACTCTGATATCGTTTCATATTGAAGCACATCTTGCTTGGCAGAAGTTTGGAGCTCTCCTAGAGATGCAATTTGGGCATATTTCTCAGACATAATAGTTTTGAGTTTTGACAACTCTTCCTCGAGCAATTTGATGCTCATGCCTTTGCCCGAACACGCGATCTCCAACTATGGAACCTTTTTGGTATACTGAAGCTTCAAAGATTCAAATTGTTGGGTTTTATATTCTAATCCTCGGTTCAACCCCAAACGGCGACCAATTACATCGTCAAAGTTGATATGAAGGTCTTGGTTTAGCTTTTTCAGTTCATCTTTGCAGCGAAGGTTCTCACTCAGGTCATCAACTAACCGCCCGTTTCTCTCTGATAAATCGTGCAACTCTTCATGAATATCATTTTCCTCTACATCCAGCTGTTTGTGAAGAAAACGCATCCCCTTCAATGTCTGGAAAGCTTCTTCGAACTTCAGTTGCTTGCCAGCAAGGATGATAGCTTGCTTACGAGTGTGACAGGAAACTCTGTTTAATAGGTGGATTCCTTTCATCAAACAGGAAAGAGACATATCGAGTCTCTCTTCATCAGAAGCATCTTCAAGTTCAGGGCTTTTAGGAATGAAGGTCATGGAGAAGGGTCGTTCAAATTCAGGCAATGAAATAAAAAAGGTAATAAGTGTAGGCAGAGAAGCCTCCTTACCAGAAGAGGGAATAATTGCAATATAAAAAGAAGAAGTAACCTCATGTCAGGAAGAACATGCAACAAAAAGAGAAAGCAGAATGAAGCATAATATTAAAGACATATGATTTTGTCATGAATTCTTCCGTGAGGCGTCAAGAGATAGGTTGGCTTAAGATTCATCCCCGGGCAAGGTGTCAGCATCCAAATTTTCAAAGGGGGGACACTCGAACTAGTTGGAACACCTAAATCTAGAAGAAGAGACTCTGACGTTACAACCGTTGACTAGATTTTTGATGCATGAAAGAGCCCAAATCCAACCCAAAAAGTTTTTGTTGGAAGACAACAGTTGCAAACAAAGTGGCATGAGTTTGATTTTTTGATGATGGGCCGAGAAATTCAACAACATGGGTTTCCCCTGAAGTAGAATGGGGAGGAATCTCAGGAGTGGGAGTTTCAGCGTCGGAAGAAGCCAAATTTTCTTCCACGTGCTTCAGTTCAGGATCAGTGGTAATCGGACACTTGTGAAGAATAGTTAGGATGAAGGTTGATTGCTCAAATATGATAGACCACGAATTTTTGCTGCACCACTTCGAGTGGTCCTTTGTCGTTTGGGAGAAGTTAAGTCAGTCAGCTTGTCGGGATGACTCATTACCCCTTCCAAGGAAAGAATTTTCTCTACTCCTGATTTCCTTTTGGAGGAAGGACCTTTTAACACAACTTTGGCCGAATAATATGAAGGCTTTCTGTTGTCATGCTCTGTCTTCACAATATTCTTAGTAAGAGGAGGCACCACAAGCACAATAATATATACACTAGAAGGATTGGCAGTAGAATCCATACTGGACTCCAATTGAGAAGGATAATTAGGGATGGTCGCTTCCTCTATGACCATCACGGAACCAGCCAGGCGCTTCCTATGTAACCACTCTAACAGAGTAATATCACGACCCGCTAGGGTTTCCATAGGTTTTTACCCCAATTTGTTCCAATAAGAACTTATCCCCACCATACCTAACATAATCTCTTCAGGATCGACCCATTTGATGAAGTTAACTGACAAGTGACTTGCGATACTCTGTTTTTCAAGAGATAAATAAGAACAAGGATCAACAGCCTTGTCGGAAGTAGCACCAAAAAACATTTGCCTAGTGAAAGCAGAAGCGTGCACAAAGAAAAATTCCTCCTTCCGATACTTAATAAAAAGTAGGAATGCCATCACAGACTTATACCAAGCCATGACGAATGGAGAAGGATACCCAATCACTATTGGACATAGTCTCGTAGAAATGGCAGAATAAAGTGATAGAGGGTGCAACACCCAGGGCAAAATAGAGCATCACGAAAAAAATGATTTTCTGAAAACCGTTAGGAGTAACATGTGCAATGTGAAGATGATAATAATCCAATTTCATCATCAAGAAATCAAATGTTGGAAGTCGCAAGCCTAATTTAAAGAAAACACGATAAACGCTGACAAAACCCTGTGGAGCGTCAACAATGGCATTCCCAAGTTCATGCAACCGTGGGTCGAATTCATGATCAATGTGATATTTTTTCGTAATATCAGAAAGGATCTCAGGGGTATGTTTGGACCTCATAGTATGAATACTTGAAATTTCCTTACTAGCCATGAAGGAGTAAAGTGAAGGAACGAAAGTGAATAAGAGAAAAGGAAAGAGTGATTCTAGAAAGAAATTACAGGCGGTGAAGAAAGTTATCAACCAAAGGGTATTTATAAGAGGTCAAGCAAGGCTATATTGATGAAGCAGACAAAATGGCAATTACACAATGTAGCCCTCTTTAAATGGAAAAGAATTGAGGAGACAATTATAGGCATTGATGAACACTAGAAGCTGCAGAACCGTCACGTCAAATTTTAATTCATGTTTCTATCCCTATCCAGTTACAACAGTTACTTTACAAAGCTTTTTTAAAGTTTGAACCATTACTTCTGACGAAAAAGTAAAAATCCAAACTAGGGGGACTTAATAGGGTATAGCCTAACTCGAAGCTATATGTATACCCTCACTACACCGAACCGGGTGCATTTCGAACTGAGTACATACCAAACTAGGTATATACCGAACCACAAAAGATAACAAACAAGGTACACAACAACGTCACAGTAGTATCATAGTACATAGGAACTCAAAGAAAACAACTTGTACAACAATATGTGACTGATGGATCCTTCGACTAAGGAGAAACAATTGTTAAACGACTCGAAAGTACATAATATTGTACGTTTGGGTGTACGAACATTAATGAGACAATATGGCAAACCTGATCAGTACATAAAGAGGTCGTCACCTCTCAACATAGACTATAAATAAGTGATGTTAATCACTTTACAAGGTATACAAACACATACATTATTCTATTACGACATACCATTTAAGGTCTTCTCTGAATTTTTCATCAGAGCGTTGGTCCGGGATCCACTCTCGGCCAATTAGCTCACGAGTTGTTTGCTGCCTCCAGGTTAGTAGAACTGTGAAGAAATCGATAACTCTCGCAGACGATGGAAGGTGAACCCGAGGGCACATCACATCCCTTCTTCAAAAGATTTTGTCATTGAAATCACGTTAGAGTGAATGAGGCATTATTGCAAAAATCAGTCTAGGCTGATGATTAATCAGTCCCTAGGTGGTTGGCGGCCTCAACCCGCCGACGATTTATGTTAGGTTGTTGGACTTGGTTAGTATTGGTCAAGATCCGTCTAATCGGTCTAGGAGGCTTTATAGGTTAAACTCGGTTAACATTTGTCAAAATAGCAAAAAAGTCAAAATTACTCAAAATGGCAAAAGAAAAAATTGAAATAAATTTAAAATAGAAAAGTCCCCTAATCGCTTATCAGTGCATCATCGCTTTACCATATCATTTTATTTTTTGTGAGCTCTAGCCGACATTTCTTTTTAAGCTATTAGCATCCACTATTTGTTAAGAAATTAATCTGTTGAGCAACTCTTAAGCAATCATGATGTTCAAATTTGTTAAGCACTAAAGTTGTTTAGTTGATTGATAAGCATTTTTCAAGTATATCTATTTTAATTTATAAGCTACTAACAAATCATTCTCTCTCGGGTGAAGAATGGATTGTTGATTGCAATGATCATGATCTAGATGAAGTAGACCCAGAAATGGTTGATAAAGCTCTAGGAACCAATGATAGTCAATCTCTTCGAGAAAGTCCAAGAACGAGGAAACTTTTCGATGAAGATTTCGAGTCTGAGAGTGACGAGAAAGTATTATAAGAAGGCAAATATGAGTCGAATGGGGTTTAAATAATGAAAGTATGCGAAGAAGATTAGAAGAAAATGTGTCTTTAGTTTTGAGTTATTTAAGTTTATTATGGACTTTTTTTGGAACGGTAAATACAAATATATACTAAACTACTCCTAAATTATTCCACCTATGTCCACAGTGAGAGTTGAACCCTCGACCTTGAGGAGGGAGGGCAACACCGGATACCGCTGGGCTAGAAGCCCTTTCGGGGTCTACTTCGTCTAGATCATGATCATTGCAACTAGTTCGAGTGTTCCCCCTTTAATAAATCTAACTTTAATTATGAGAATATAAGTAAATAAGCATAAAAGCTTAATAATAAGTTTATTATGGATTGTAGGATGATTAGTTGTGCTTGTTAAACTTATTATTAAACTTTTGTACTTATTTACTTATATTTTCATAATTAAAGTTAGATTTATTAATTATTGAATAACTTTTCTAATAATTAATGGTCCCTGATTAATACCCCGATTAATCTCCACATAGTCGATTAATCCTTTAACCCTAATCCACCAAGTAGCTAACGTCGAACGTTTTTTAAAACCTTGGAATGATGGTAACTCAGTTTTATCTTTTTTCTTGGATCTAAAGTTTTCCAAACGTCGCCATTGCATATAACACTAATCAAGGGACGCCATTTACTATCCATCTAATGCGGATAATTACTCATTCCACTTAAACTCTTAACATCATGATTACCAGAGTCCAGAGCTCTAAATCCACCCCTTCAATTAATGAGGGCAACGTTCATTTTGCCTAAAAACTCATATTTCATAATCAAACTTTTTCATTACTCCATTCATATTTGTTCATAAAATAACATTTCTAGTTATTTTCGGCATAATGTCACAACAACTAGATTAAATTATACGTCAGGCATATCTTTCAATTAAATCAACAATTATACAAACAAATTTGTTCACTATAGCTCGTCAATCTATGAGTTTCTCAAAGACTTATCATACTCAATAAGTCACACCATAAAGATTCACCATACTCAATAATTCTCATATCAAGTATCATCCCATAATTTCCTCAAATTGATAGTTTTAACTTCTCCTCGGATTCTCTATTATAATCTTCTAAACTTCAAAACATAGTAACTAGAATATATAGAAGATATCCTAAATTCATATAAACACTTCAAACATTAAAATAAAATAAAACCACAACATGGACATTGATGTCCACAAATCCAAGATCAACACAAATATTCAAAAAAGAAACATAAACTACAACACCAAAAAAATAAAAGTTCAAACATCAAAAAAACAGTTGTCCATAAGTTCACGGTGAATCCAAACACAATACGAACAAATATAAGATCATTTAGCCTATGATGTTCTAATATATTCCTCCTTTTTGTGTGAGTCATTTCAAAAAAACTCCAATTACGTTTTCAACCTGAAAAATATTTAATTTGACTTAAATGATTTGTGGATTTGAAACTAAAATTCTTTGTTGGTTTATTCCGTAACATTTTTTTTTTTGTTAATTGTAGGCTTACTGTAGATTGTTTTAGATTTAATTGTGGGCTTATTGTAGATTTTTTTGGCTTAATTGTGGGCTTTTTAAAATTTTTAGGTTAAATTTTTTATGTTATATCAGGATTTTGTAATGATTGTGAATTTCCGGTTCAACTATTTTATGGTAAAATCGACTAGATCTACCTTACATTTTAAAATTTTATTTTTAATAGTCCTACAGACAAAATTTGATATAAATAGTTATCTAAAATTATTAATTGATAAATGCAAGACGTAATTTATCACCAATTTTAATAAACAAATACACAAACTTTGGAAGATATACACTCAAAACTTGGTGCAAAATAACGTTATATAACACTAAAACCAATAAAAGATCATCTGGTCAATATGTCCGAGTGGTTAAGGAGACAGACTCGAAATCTGTTGGGCTTTGCCTGCGCAGGTTCGAATCCTGCTGTTGACGGATGTTTTTATTTTTTTTGTTTTTCACTTTCTGCCCAATTTTTCCATAAAAGAAAAAGAAAAATGCGACTATCTCATCCGTCGATACTCGATACCTAGTTATAATTGTATAAAAAAAATCTATATATATATTTTTATCACTTTGTATGCAATACATAACAAAATTATCACTTTTAGTTCATACCATTTATAAAACCAGTTAACTAATTTTTTTCTATATTTTATTTTTTTTACATAAAGTAACAACGAATGTTAACTTGATTATATGAAGTTTTTTTAACAAATGTTGCATGGATTTTTTTCTAACATTTTTTTAGTTATTTTTATTATCTATTATCTATTATTATCTATTTTAGGATTAAAGAGATAATGAATTTTTGCAATTTACGCTTATAGTCCCTAAAAGTTTTCTTTATACGTGATCTACCATCGAATTAGATCAACTTTTTTTTTAAAGTACTATTATGACCGACTATTATATGTTTTGTCGATTTTCAGTGTCCTTTTCGGGCAAACATGAGTTCTTCGCCAAACATAAATTTTCCGATCATCATTTTTGGCCAACCATTTCATATATGAAAATCATGAAATCGATTAACATTTTCACATCTTGTTCAAGACGACAAGTATGAGATCGAACCTCCATGAATCTATGTTAATGTGTTTTTGTTGACAACTGAAAAATCTTTTTGATAATGTATTTCTAGACCGATTAAAATTGTGC